TGTTATTGAGTGGGACAGCCAGAGGGCCTCGTGAGAAAAAGTACTTGCCATAAGCCTGATGACCCAACTTCCATCCCTAAAACCCAGGATGGAAGGACAGTACCAAACAAAAGTTGTCCTCTGACCTCCAGCCCACGGACAAACACAGCAAAATGCATCGTTTTTTAGAACACAATGAGCAAGAAGTCTGACGTCACTTCAGGGAAATGCAAGCCCAAACCATAACGAAGCATTGTGTATGGTGAGTGACAACACACCTGTATTCCCAGCATAGAGGAGGCTAAGGCAAAAGAATGACTTTGAGACCAGGTTAGAATGCAAAGACCCCAACTCAAAAATTAAAGCAGGGTTCCAAATAGGTCTCCACACAGCTACACTCACAGGAGCATTACTCATAATAGCTACAGAATAGGAACAACTATATGTCACTGACACATGAATTGGTAGGCTAAGAGTGTGAATGTGTGCATGAAAAAACTATTCAGTCTTTTGTTTGTTTTGTTTTTCAAGACAAGGTTTCTCTGTGTAGCCTTGGCTGTCCTGGAATTTGCTATTTTTATAGACCAGGCTGGCTTCAAACTCGGGAGATTCACCTGCCTCTGCCTTCTAAGATTAAAGGTGGGCGCCTCTGCCACCTCTACTAGCCTTAAAGAGAAATTAAATTTGGAGCCTCAGTAGTTAAGAGCACCTACCGCTTTCAGTCCAGTTCCATGGGATCTGGCCTCCAATGGGAACCACACACACATAGTACACACACATACATGCAGGCAGGCAATATATTCATACACATAATATAAAAATTAATCTTTATAAAATGAAACTTTGGTAAATACAACTTTAATGAATACTGAGGATATCACATTAAATCAAATGTCAATTACAGAATAACAAGGCATGGTTTTACCTTAATGAGATACCTGCACTAGTCAAAATTATGAGATAGAAGGAAACAGGATGGTAATTATCAAAGGGCTAAATTATGAAGAATTATCATCAAATGGATAGAGGTTCAGTTTTGCAGTAAAGATCCTGAAAATGGAGTTAGTGAAAAATGGTAACATGTTTTATTGTAATACAAGAAAATTAGAAAAAAAATGAAATAAATCCTAAGTGAACTGTAAATTTTTACATACTTCCAATTCTAATTAGAAAAACATTACCCTTTTCTTATACTGTCTGCAGCTTTAATTATTAAATTCTCAGCCTTTGGTCTATCATCTATAGCCAATTATAAATAAACTCTAAGATCAAAACAAAAATTCCAATGTGTTTACTTAATGGAGGATTGTTACAAAGTATCTCTGTAAGACTGCACAAAGTTTCAAAAAAAACAGTTTGAGGTACAAGGCACAGTGTAGCTCAAAGTTCCTTACATTAAAGAAAAAATGCCAAACCTCCCCAAATTTTCTTTCCAGACATTACTGGCTTTGATAAAGGAATTTGAAAACCACTCATTTACTGGAGCCCAAAAGAATGACCAAATTATATGTCAATAGAATACGCTAACAACTGAGCAGTCCAAAACATTGAGAAGAATTACTAATACTGTTAGGGAAATTTACATAAGCTTCCAAAATGCAGCTTTCTGATATAGTACAAAAACTCAAATGCTACCAAAAATGGGAAAGCACAGCAGTATCAGACAAGTGGTCTTATGACTATTACACAGCAATTCAGGTCTTTCTTTCAGACTATTAAGTATAAGAGAATGAAGCTATCTAGCAGTATCAGAAGTGTGGGGGGGAGATACAGAAGATTGTAGGAAGCACTTAGGTGATGAGTAGCTTTATTTTTTTGTCACAACTTGTGACATACTAACATACTTTCTCTGTGGGAGAAAGGGTAGTAAGATTAATCAGGCACATAGACGCAAAGTTTTTAGCAGCTCCTCAATCCAGCCGGTACATGTCTTGTAAAGATCTGATACTTTCCATACATGGCCAGGAAAACTGGTAGATTAAAAAATACCATGATCAACTGGGCAATGACAGCAGAGGCAGGCTGATCCCTAAGTTCGAAGCCAGCCTGATCTACAGAGTGAATTCCAGGACAGCCAGAGCAACACAGAGAAACCCTGTCTCAAACAAACAAAAAACCAACAACAGTGCCCTGATTAATGAAACTGGACTGCAAACTCTAAGGACAGAATCACATCTGTTTACTTTTGCTGTTACCCCCAATGGGTGGCACAACACACAGTATGTATTAGGTTGCCAAGTTAGGGGATAAAATTAAGAGCTGGCAGTGTGTGTGTGTGTGTGTGTGTGTGTGTACGCGCTCTTGCGGGCTGTGGAGAGCTCAGCAACCTAGAGGCTTGCTGCTCTTACAAAGAGCAGTCTGGTTCCCAGCAGCCAGGTGGGATGTGGCTCACAAGGACCTGTATCTCCAGCTCTGGCCTCTGAGATCACCTGCACACACTCACCACACCACAGATATATAAAAGTGGAGAAGAGATCTGGTTTGAGTTAGCTGTGTGAAATACAAATTAAATTCCAGACAAGTGTGTATCCCATGAGACACAAATGTAACCTAACCATCTGCAACGTTAATCTCCACTGTCAGCCTGGATTTAGAATCTCCTTGGAAATGCATCTGAATGTCTAGTCACCTGAAGGAAGAACTGCCCTGAATGCAGGCAGCATGAGTGTTCCATGGGCTAGGGTCTACATCGGAATAAAAAGGATGACGTAAGCTGACCACCAGCATTCATCTCACGCTGCTTCCTGACAGACACACAATGCTCCGTGCCTCCCCCCAGAGGGACTGTATCCTCTAAAACAGAGGTTCTCAACCAGTGGGTTGTGACCCCGCCAGGAATTCCCCATCAGATCTTTACATTACAACTGATAACAGTAGCAAAATGGCAGTTATTCCATAACAAAATAATTTTTGGAGCCCTGGCTGTCCTAGAACTCTTCCTGTAGACCAGGCTGGCCTTGAACTCATGGAGATCCACATGCCTCTGCCTCCCAGAGTACAGCCCCCAGCACCTGGCTATATGAAATAGTCTTATGGTGGGGGGTCGCTACATATGAAAAACTGTACTAAAGAGTCCCAGAATTAGAAAGGTTGGGAAGCACTGCCCTAGAACTACAAGCCAAATTAAATTCTCCCCTTAAATTCCTTTACATCAGATATTTGGTCAAAAGCATAGTTAATATACTGTCAATATTAATAGTTTATTTTTCCAATTTTTCTTAATGAAGGTGGGCAATAGCGATAGTTTGCCTAACATACACAAAGCCCCAGGTACAACCTTAGCACTGGGGAACAGGAAAAAAAGCCTAATGTAACTGATATGATGACACATTTTTTTATCCCAACATCTGTGAGGCAGAATTCAAGCACAGCCTGGTACACACAATGAGACCTGCCTCAAACAAACAAACAAACAAACAAACAAACAAACAAACTCTTCACCAGCCTGATAGACTGAGTTCCAGGACAGCCAAGGCTACAAGGGGGGGGGGGGGTACACCACTCTTTACACAGCCTGATGCCGTTATCACATATCTGATCCTGAAATTGGAAGAACAGAAACAAAATTTTAGTACAGGGGGCAAACAGCACGTGGCAGGTTCCATGCACTCCAGCCTCTAAGGGAATAGGGGTGACTGGGTTGCAGCTTTCGTGCCCAAGCCAACTTTGAGAAGGGAGAAACACTGGGAAACATTTAAAATAACACCTTGGCATTTGTTACTATGAAGCCAGAAAGCCCTTCCTACAAACCTAAGCTGTGCAGAGTCCCATGGCACATGGAGCTAAAATAGCTATGTACAGATATTTTTTGGAGGTTCCATATTATTTCTCAACAACCTTAACAAGACAAGCAAGAATATTCCAAAAAAGACGGTTTTTTAACATCTGTAACTACCCTTGCTCATCTTCTCTTGGAACAACTGTATGTCAACACAGCTAACAATTTCTCCCTCATATTTTAAAATAACATAATGACTTTGATTTCTTAAGTTTTTAATGTTTGACTTTATCCCATCTACAGAATACTCTGCCAGAAAAAGTCTCCCTAGGAATCCACATTATTAAAACGCTCCCAAAACATCAACCGCAAGCAAGTTGAAATAAAATCCGTTCTCTTTATACTTGTTTTTTCTCTCCTCTCCACACGGAGTCATAGTTTTCCTCCACCCACCTTTCGCTCAGTTTACGATGCTATGCCTATTCCCCACGAGTAAAGCTACTCCTGCTTCTCAGAGTAAAAAAAAACCAAACAAACAAACAACTTCCTTGACCTCAGTTCCTGTCAGTTCAGGGCGGAGTGGTTCAACTGCCACAGTATGTGTTGGGGGGGGGGGGGGG